AAAGATACCTTGGCCAGATAAAATGTAGAGAAGTATGCAAGGAGACTATTTCGATGGTCATCATTTGCACCTTGCAGAACTTTCTGGACAAGTATCTGGACAACTTTCTGGACAAGGCTCGATTGTCCTCTGCATAAACCACATGGTTACTGTACAAACACTGTCATTCTTCTCTAGAGCTGAGAGAAAGGTGGGCTGAGCGACCATCTAGAGTGACACGTCTCAGAAAGCAAACTCAAGCCTGCCCTCATTGACTGCTGCGCCCATGGCAAGAGGGAAGGAGACCGGCACCTTTGAGTCCCTCCTCTGGGGACTGTCGGAGCAGCCACAGCAGCAGCACATCCTCTTCCTGCTCTTCCTGTGGATGTACCTGGTCACGGTGGCTGGGAATCTGCTCATTGTCCTGGCCATCGGTACTGATGTGCGACTCCACACCCCCACGTACTTCTTCCTCGCCAGCCTGTCCTGTGCCGACATCCTCTTCACCTCCACCACGGTACCCAAGGCCCTGGTGAACATCCACACCCAGAGCAGGACCATCTCCTATGCAGGATGCCTGGTGCAGCTCTATTTCTTCTTGACCTTTGGAGACATGGACATCTTCCTCCTGGCCACAATGGCCTATGACCGCTTTGTAGCCATTTGCCACCCTCTCCACTACACAATGATCATGAGCTTCCAGCGCTGCTCACGCTTGGTGGCAGCCTGCTGGACCCTGACAAATCTTGTGGCCATGACACACACCTTCCTCATATTCCGGCTCTCCTTCTGCTCTAAGAAGGTCATTCCAGACTTCTTCTGCGACCTGGGACCCCTGATGAAGATCGCTTGCTCTGAAACCCGTATCAATGAGCTCGTGCTTCTCTTCCTGGGGGGTGCAGTCATCTTAATCCCCTTTTTGCTCATCCTTGTGTCTTATATCCGCATTGTGTCGGCTATCCTCAGGGTCCCTTCTGCCCAAGGGAGGCGCAAGGCCTTCTCTACCTGTGGGTCCCACCTTGCTGTGGTGACTCTGTTCTTTGGGACAGTGATAAGGGCTTATCTGTGTCCCTCCTCATCCTCCTCTAACTCAGTGGTAGAGGACACAGCAGCTGCTGTCATGTACACAGTGGTGACCCCCCTGCTGAACC